TCGATTTATGTTGATTTACATTGGATTTCATCCTTTGTGCTTCACGATTAATTTCCATAGACTAAAGAATTTGTTTTCAAGTACTTGTGCACAATTCTTCACTTTTAGTAATGAAACTTGTCTTGCAAGTTCCGTAAATTAGAGTGCAAGTTTTTCCAAATCTTCTTTCTTATAAGCTTTCACTTGTCTTGTAAGGTTCATAACTTAGCATACAAATATTTACTTTATGTCTTGTCTTAGAATAATTTTAATTATCAATATTTACTATTTACTAATTTAATTTCAGTCTTTTACTTTTCAGTACTTTACTTTTCAGTTTTTTAATTTCTGCACTTTACTTTACTGCAATTATTGTTCTGCATTTTAATTTTCAGCAATTTAATTTCAGTCATTTATATTTCTGTAATTTAATTTCCAATACTTTAAATTCCAGTATTTTAATTTCTCGTAATTTAATTTCTACAAATTACTTTTTCGTATCAGTTATTTATTTTTCAGTCTTTACATCTTTCATGAGAAGAAACCGAGCAATGATGGGCTAAACGCCTTAGCTTGTGGTGTAAGGGAAAATTAAGACCAAAGCCGATGTGAAAGTACAGAGATGTCTTATTAGCATTATAGTCTAACTATTTGTTTCAGGTGATTAACATTTCATTGACGATTACATTAAAATTAATTGACAACTGATTTTGTGTATGAAAATGCATTAACTTTCAGAGTTACGATAAATAAGAAAACTTGAGGTTAGGAGAAGGCTATAAATAGCTTTAGCATCTGACAAGTATTATACCCCTATGGTGTAGGATGGTAACACTATGTTGTGCTAGGATTCATGACGTCTAACATAAATGATATCGTATCGATAGCACGTTGGCCGACGTGTACTCTTGGGAGGCCGCCTGATCCGATAGTTGATATTGTGACAATTATATAAAGTCATTATGTGATTTTATAGAATTGTGACAGGAATGCTATGTCACATTTTTGCTGAATCATTTGTTTAGTGTCTTAATCAACCTTTGCACCATGTGCTTCTTTTTACGACTGATATTTCTTAGTTGCTAATCAAACCTCCCAATTTTAGATAAATCAAATCCTTCGTTTCTTCATTTGAAATTAGTTTTTATAGAGTGGACTTTTGGAGAACTTTGCAAAGTTTTCTCTGTGGGAACGATATCTGGTACTTATACCACTATTACTTGTTACGAGATGATAGTAATTCAATATGTATATTTGCACCGAGTTCTATTTTTGTGTTGAAATCAAAGGTTGCATAAACCGAACGAGCACCAGTCCTTTCACATTATGTTTTTCTTTTAACACTTTCTGCTTCAACATCATAAGTTCATAAACTTCCAATGTCCATTCCATACTTTCCCAATGTGAATTTTTTGTTATCTTGTGAAGGTAGTTGAATCAATTGTTGCAACTTCCCTTAGAGGGCATAGACCACTCACCATACTTTTGTCTGTCACTTCTTTATAGTGTTGCAGATCAAAGAAAGCAAGTAGCAACTAATGAGCTAAGCACAAGATGGACCAACTAACATGGATTCCTATTAAGACTTTTTTGATTATTTTTTTAACTTATGTCGGTCTAATATCTTATTGGTTTTCTTAAACATATTTATACATTCATGCCTGGTTTCTATGAATTTATTGTTTACCTATCTCCACATAAGATCAACTGAGTTACTGCAACGTCCAGAAAGTTACAACTACAATTATTTCAATGAATAACCACAAATAATTTTATTCTAATTTGCAGCTAATGAATTTATATCTGTTTTCTTGAAGGTCTGAAGTGTGTTTATTTTTATGTTAATGTGTTTTGTTATTCCCACTACATTGCGTGCTGTTTGTATGATGTTCTTTTCTTTGGTTAACAAGTGTAATTAAGTTATGATTGGGGTCTTCCCTATCCCTTATGAATATGCCTTCATATATTACAACACCCATAATTGATCTTTTTTAATGATTGAATTGCCGTTAAATTTTGTGCATATCATGCTCTTTTTGGCTGATTGTGGTAGTTGTTAACTTTGTCGTTAACCATGAATAGAATTTATGTTTTTCATGACTGAATCACCAATTCATCTTCATCTGTTTCATATCTTGTATCCTTAAAGAGTCTACATCTGTTTGGTATATTGTATCAAAAGCTTGATATGAATGTCTGATTAAGCTTCCTAATGAAGAAACTTAAATTATGTTGAATGGTTGTGGCAAGGATAGATTTCAACCCAAATCACTTTGCACCTTTTTATGTGTTTACTGTTATCGATTATGTACAATTTTCATTATATGCATTTGTATATGATTTTGATGTTCTAATCATTTGGTTTATTTGCAGTAATCATGTTTTTTAATTTCTTGATCATTCATTGTGGTGTCCCTTGCTCTTGCTAGCCTCATGTACTATTATGTGAGCATCAATGGAAAGTCGGGGACTAAGATAATGAAGTTCCTCAAGATGAGGGATATGTCAACTAGAAATAGATAACAATGACCAAACCAATACTAGAGATCAAACTTTTTTTTGATTAACCTGGATATCCAACCCGCTATGCGAGCCGATTAATTTCAGGGTGACCACACCTGCTTTGCAGATAGTCCGGAGTCACCGCATTTGAACCTCCGTGACCATAAGGGGATTTTTATTTCTCCTTGGATTTGAACTTGGGACCTCCTGGTACTTTTGACCTTTGAAGCCAAACTCAAACCAATCAGACACCACTCTGTAGTTAAGATCAAACTTATTATGATGTACAAGGATAAAGAAAACCAAAGCAACAGTACATCGATACTTGGATAGTCATTTCTATATATGATTCATGATTGACTTGTGAAACAACTTGTATTCTTTGAATTTTAAATTATATTGTAAGATTATATGTACATGCAGGAACGTCTATCAGTTTCTTTTCCACTTTTTCCCTAACTATGGTATTAAATTTACTATAACTGAATGTTGTTTATTTAATAAAAATTGTACATTGCTTTCTTGCTTACATTTATTCAGATTTTACATCCCACTGCATTGTGTGAATATACAACTAGTACATATATATATATACACACACACCACACACACACATACATACATACATACAATTGGGTCCTACGTCAATTCCATATATGGATTAATAACTACAGATATTGAAGATAAAAGCTAATATAGTACCAACTTTATTAGAAAGTCAAGTACAACTTTATACACTACAATAAAACTAATAGAGAGTATGGTAAGAAATAAATTTATTTCTTACTTACCATACTCTCGGATCTCGTAGAATACCGCCGATTATAKCCCGTTGATTTCATTTAAGACGCAAAAATAGAATCCTTTTCATTTGATTTCTTCAAATATCGATCAAAAATCAGAAGTAAAGTTTCATTTAAAGTAATTAATCACATGAATTGGGGCAAATTAAATGTGAACCGCAAAAAATGTTATGAACCGCATGAATTGTTTTTCCTATGTTGTTTTACATATAAACCATATACATGAAATATATGATGTTGTGTCATATCCAAATGTGCTTCGAATGTGAAAAAACAAGTAGATACTTTTCATATATAAATACAAGAGCTAACATATGAAACAACTTGGATCATAGCTTAGAATGAAACTCATCGTAAGGTGTGAATTGGTTTTCATGTGTTTATAACATTTTTGTGGTTCACTTTTGATTTTTCCTCTATATTAATTCACCTATAGATAGCCCCGTCCGCCTCACCCCTTTCCCTTATCTGGTGAATGGTCGACACCTCCCTCCTCCCCTACAACCATCTTCGACCATCCACCTATAACCATCTTCGACCACCTAGCTGTTGTGTTCTTCTAATCGTGATTGTTAAATGAAGGTGGTAAGGTGACAAAACCAGATGAACTTCACCAGAACTCATTAGAGGTTGATGCTTTTGAGGTCTCGTTGAAGATGCACAATTACAACAAGAGAGCTGTACGTGCTGTCAAGAACGAAGGCCAGAGATGACGAGAACGGCGATAATGACATCACCCATGTTGTTTGTGTTTAGAGAATGAACGATATTGTTATTGCTTATTTTATTTTTGTTGCATGTTGGCTCAGTTGTCCTCATTGATCATTAGATAATAAAAAACTGTGATGTTCAAGGCTGACTAACAGTGAGATATGTTATATTTTTAATTAGATTGTAGTAAGTTATAATTAATAACCAATAATTTTCGATGATAAAAAGATGCACTAAATTTAAAGGCATCTTGGATGTAAAGCACGAAACGATGTATCATGTTGGTGCAAAATGATGGAAATAACAAATACTCTCCAATGTATTACAATATCTTTTTACCACAAAAGGAATATCCTAAGCATATTCCTTTTTATTAAATAGATTTTCAAATAGTACTTTTTAATAAATTATATATTATGTACTGCTTGAGTATAATATAATAATAAATAGTTGTTATTTAGTTTTGAATTAAAAATGTCCAAAATATGTGTATATATATATATATATATATATTAGTTGTATATTTTAATTAAATATGTTCCAAATTATTAAAAATAAATACTTTTTAAAGTTTGTTGGTTATATTAAAATGAATCTATTTAAACTTTATATACTTTTAATTTATTAATTGAAATGTTTTTTGAATAAAGTGAAGTTACATAAATCTTTAAAAAACTGAATATTGAAATTTTATAAAAAGTAGTGTTGATAAATAATTCATAACATCATGCAAAAAATGGTATGTTCATTAAAAATGACTTGGTTCAGAAAATAACCAAGTCTACCCAAACAATTATAATTTATATGCTTCGTCATAACAGTTTCTGAACATATATGCATGCTTTGGGATTGCACTCTTCTAAAAAAAAAAAATATTAAGAAGCATATATATGCTTAAGTGACTATCGCATACTTCGAGTTTTGTGGAAGCATATGTTTTAAAAGACTGGCTAGCATAATAATAATACTAGAGTTTGGGTCAATGAAGCTCCACCATAAACTACTACTACCTACCAGTGGCCTTCATTCATTGACCATATGTAATGTCGCCAACCTCTACTCTACAGATCCTTTCTTGAAACTGACACTCAGAAAACCCAAAGGAAACAGGATAGAAGCAAGGGAAAGTCTAAAATCAGGTCAAATCTCATCTTTCTTTCTTTCCCATCTGTACATGGGTTTTTAAGTTTTTCTCCAGGTAATAAAGATTGGTCCTTTTCCTCTTATTTAGACTGTAAATGGAGTAACTTTGTATGATCATATGCATATTCAGGAATTGTACATCATTAAAAACCATTATTATTTAAGTTATATGTATTTCACTGCTTTAGGTAGGTTATGGAAATGGAGGAACCAATTGGGATTCTAAAAGTGATTGTTGTGCGAGGCAAGAAACTGGTAGTCCGCGATTTCAAAACCAGTGATCCTTATGTCATCGTCAAACTTGGAAATCAGGTTCAATATGTTTTTTTTTTTCCTTCAAAAATTAAGGAAGGAAAAGATGTGAACTTGGTGGTGATCATGATATATATATGTAATGTGTCAGACAGCAAAGACAAAGGTTATAAACAGTTGCCTTAATCCTGTCTGGAATGAAGAACTGACTTTCTCCATTGCGGAACCTGTTCAAGTTCTAAACTTGGTAATTATCAGTTCATTTAATTGAAGATATGATATGATATATAAGTCTGAGGATGAGGATGAGGATGAGAAGGATTGATTTATAGATATAAATTAATGTGACAGGCAGTGTTTGATAGAGACCGTTTCAAGGCTGATGACGAGATGGGAGATGCTCAAGTGAAGATTCAGCCGTTGGTGACAGCAGCTAGATTAATGGAGATCTTAGGGGTTGCAAATGACGGAACAGTATTGAGAAAGATGATCCCAGATACAGACAATTGTTTAGCATCAGAAAGCTGTATTAGTTGGGTGAAAGGTGAGGTTGTACAAGATGTTTGGTTGCGCCTTTCTCAAGTTGAATCTGGGGAGATTCAGTTGAACCTCAAGTTCCGTAATACTAATCCTAGGCTAGGCTTGGCTTAGTATAGATATATATATTTTTTTTCCTTTTAATTTCAAGACTTGTTTGTTAATTGTTATGATGGAATTGTGTGTTTTCTTTAATCAGTATGAATGAAGTTAAATTAAAATGTATATTATTAAAATATTCTTATATATTTTTTACATATAAAATAATAATAATAGTTTAAATAAAACCATAAAATTACAATTTAGAGATACTTGCAGTTGTATTTGGATAATCTTGTACAGGTCACTGCAATTCGTGATGAGGCAATTGAAGTTGATCCCAGAGGTTCATTGTAACCCTAGCGAAGAAGAAGGTGTGAATGGCGAAAAGCCGACTACGGATTTAGGAAATGGGAGCCATGTGGTATACTTGCCCCGCTTTTTGGCCTACGACAACTCATGGGAGTATTTCCATTATCTCGATAAACACATCCCATGGACCAGACCCACCATCCGTGTCTTCGGTAAACCTTTTCTCCAGGTACTACTAAACTTGTCGCCTCCTAGAATCATTAATCATTAATCATTAATCAATCATAGATATGTATATTAGATCTCAACTATTCGCTTCCACAGCTCCATTAAAATGGTTAATTCTTATCTGTTTTCCATTCATGTAATAACGAATTAAGATTTTTGGTGAGCAAGGAAGAAAGAGATGATTTTTAATTTACTGGCACCCTTGCCATGTACCATAGCCAAATAACCATTGACATGCTCAACCGAGAGGTGCTAGAGAAAGACAAGCAAGCCCTAACCCTCTTAGCCCTCAGCAAGGGCCTTTGCTTGACCCTCAACCTTTGGCTCCTTCTCATTCCTCAATCCTCACCCTCAGCTACGAGTTGCCTGCCTCACTGATCAAATAGACGGGAAAACAATCTTCAAGTCACGGTTTTCCCTGTTTTTAGTCTATCCAGGTGCTTGCTGGCGAGTGTTCCCCCTAGCTCGGTTGAATAATTTATTTAAAAGGATTAGAAAACAATAACATTAAATCTTTATAAATAAATTTTAGAACTTTATTAACGAGGAACAAAACCAAGATCTATAAAAGGAACTTTATAGTTCGAGATAGTAAACTTAAGACCGGAATCGAAACCAAACCAATATTCCCACACGGGTTTGAATCTATCCTTCACGATAGACTCAATGGTAGAAAGGGGTATAAGCAGAGTGTACACTATGTGAACGAAATTAAATACAATGTCGAAAAAATAAATACCAACCTGATTTTCTTGAAGCACGTAAAGGTAGAAATCTGGATGGTACAAAACCTGTCCTTAAAGGTTTTATACGATCATCGTATAAGCTGTTGGTCTCCAAGTCGCAAAGCCCCAGGATTGATGTAGAACCGGATCTCGAATATCAACAGCTTTGACATCGAAATCAAAGCAAGGTGTATACAGAAAATTGGTAAAGGAAAAGAGTAAACGGGAGCAGCAATGGATGAGGAGAAAAACTGAATTTTGGAGAGCCGTCTTTAGGTTTGGCTTCAACCCAATATTTATATTGGGTGAGACCACGATTTTCTCCCGTATAGCGCACGATCATGGAGATGTTGGAGGATTATCCTCCAACGATCGTTATCTCTAAAAACGTGGCTAAATCGTTTTTTTAAAACCGATTTTAAATTCAGTTGTTTTCCTTCTCTCTCGACTTTGTACCAAAAAGATACTCGGAGCTCGGGGCGAGGCTCCTTCTGCTCCGATGCGGCGTGCAAATCCTCGCACCACTTTCGCGAATCCCGCACCCTCGGCCACGGCCACGCGCGCGCTTTGGGCCTTCCACTCAAGACCCCGCCATGAGTCTACTCATATGTTCAAAGTCCAATTCTAGAAAAAGCCTTATAAGCTTCTCTAGAGTTTCTTTATCTACCAATGTGGGATGGAGGAAAACCTCCAACCTCACATATAATTTCCAACAATCCCCCACCATGTTGGAAAGTTTTCTGACATTCACATTAGACAATGTCACAGTGGTATCACTAAGACTAAACCCTGTTTTATGCAAGTATGCAAGGAGAGATCAATTCAATGGTATCCTTAGGATTTAAACCTTGAATATTGTGATCTCTTCGGCTTACTTACACACATAATCTAATATCTTTGCTTTCACTAAGCGCGAATATGGCCATGCGCTAAACCCTGTTTCATGATCTTTTAGTAAAGGAACCACCACTCTCCTTTTGAGGCGGCACCACCTCTTGGTCATATAGGCAAAGTTCTATAACATCTTTGTTGCTAAGATGCCTCTGAACTTTGTGAAGAGATTAACTCATCCTTATTCTCGGCAACACCGTACTATCATTTACCTTACATGGATCTATCAATAGATAGTAACTTCGATCAGTTAGTGACTTGTTGTTACCCTTTAAGCTTGATAGATAGGATCATAGGAGCACTAAATTCAAGTTGGGTTTCCATCACTAATTGATTCTACGTGGTTTCAGACCCATGTCTCGGGTAGTTGATCCTACCAAGTCTCTCGTGTCAGAGGCTTGGTTAGCGGATCTGCCAAGTTCCTACAAGACTTGACATACACAATACTTATGGTACCATCATCAATTAATTGTCTCACGAAATTGTGTCGGAGACCTATATGTCGCGACTTCCCATTATACACAACATTGTATACTTTTGATAGTGTGGCCTTACTGTCACAATACATGGGAATAGAAGGAGTTGGTCCACAAATGGATATTTGTTAATAGATCTCTGATCCATTCGGCCTCTTTACCCGCTGCAGCTAGGGCAATAAGTTCGGCTTCCATAGTCGAACGGGTTATATACGATTGTTTCTTGCTCGCCCAAGATATTACCCCACCAGCAAGGGTATAAATCTACCCACTTGTGGATTTAGAATCACTAGAGTGATCTATCCAACTGGCGTCAGAATACCCCTCCAAGATTTCTGGATGTGTCGTGAATGTTAAATCTAGATCACTAGATCTCTTCAAGTAACCCAATACTCTATCGATAGCTTTCCAGTGATCTGCACTGGGATTGCTAGTATATTGACTCAGTCTACTCACTACAAAAGCAATATCCGGTCTAGTGCAATGCATCGCATACATCATGCATCCTATTGCACTAGCATACTCTAGTTGAGCCACTAGTGTTTTTATCGAGTTTCACACTTGAATTAAATGGAGTGTTAAACTCTTTTATATTCAAATGTTGAAACTTGGTTAGTATCTTCTCTATGTAGTGGGATTGACTTAGAGAGATTTGAGATGCTGACCTTTTGACTTTTATCCCAAGGATGGTTTCTACTTCTTCAAGATCTTTCATCTTAAAGTTCGAGGATAAGTAGCCTTTAGTTTCAAGGATACCTTCTAGATTGGTTCCGATGATCAACATATCATCTACATAAAGACAAATTACTACAATGGATCCTCTCGTGCATTTTGAGTAAATGCATCTGTCGGCCCCATTATGTTGGAACCCGAAAGAAGTGATAGTCGTATCAAATCTTTCGTGCCATTGTTTGGGGGCTTAATTTAACCCGTATAGAGATTTTATAAGTCTACACACTTTGTTCTCTTGTCCGGGTACCACAAACCCTTCAGGTTGCTCCATATAAACCTCTTCGTTTAGATAGCCATTCAAAAAGGCTGTCTAAACATCCATTGATGGATGTACATACCTTTTATGGCTGAAATTGCTATAAGAGTTCGAATAGAACTAATTCTAGCAACTGGAGCATAGGTATCAAAATAATCGATTCCCTCTCTCTGTCTATACCTTTTAGCCACCAATCTAGCCTTGAAAGCAGAAATTGAACCATCTGAATGTAGCTTCCTTTTGAATAACCATTTAGAACTTATGGGTTTTGCTCCCTTGGGTATATCAAACAATTCCCAAGTACCATTACCCATGATAGAGTCCATTTCATCATTTATTGCTTCTTTTCATAGTGGAGCATCCCTTGAAGTCATAGCCTCTTTAAAAGTCTTAGGATCATCTTCTATATTGATGGAGAAAATGACCTTTCTCGTCACTTTCTTTTGCGTTCCTTCTACTAAGTATGAGAAGAAATCATCTCCTAGACTTTTCTCTTTTCTTACTCGTGTACTTCTACGTGGTTCGTCAACCTTATTTGAGGTTTTCGAACTATCACGAGATGTGCAAGGAAGATTAGAGGTCAATGTTGGTACTGAGTTTCCAGCATCATTTGAAAACTTATCTTCAAAGAACTCCACATCTCTGGATTCTACTATGACTCCTGAGTCCTTACTCAATAATCTATTAGCCTTGCTATTTCTAGCATATCCAACGAAGACGCTTTTAGTAGCACGGGTTCCCAATTTTAGATCTTTTTGGATCAGGGGTTCGATAGTAGGCAATGCATCCCCAAACTCTAAAATAGTTCAAGTTTGGTTTCCTTCCTTTCTAGAGCTCGTATGGACTCATTGGAATCACACGACTAGTGATTATGTTATGAATATGGCAAGCAGTCAATAGGGCTTCTCTCCATAAATTATTTGGCAGACCCGATTGGTTCAACATACAGTTGACCATTTCAACAAGGGTTCGGTTCTTTCTTTCCGCCAAACCATTTTGTTGAGGAGTAAGTGGTGAGGTGCGTTCATGTTTGATTCCATTCTCTTCGCAGAATGTATCAAACTCTCTATTAAAATATTCACCACCTCTGTCTGATCGAAGTATTTTGATTCGTTTTTCAAGTTGATTTTCTACTTCAGCTTTATATAATTTAAAAGCCTCAAAAGCTTCATCTTTTGAGTGTAATAAGTAAACATGTAAAAATCGGCTGAAGTCATCGCAGAATGTAATGAAATACCTTTTACCTCCACGAGTAAGAATCCATTTAATTCGCAAATGTCGAAATGAATTAACTCTAAAATTGATGTGTCCCATTTAACTGAAGGAAAAAATTTCTTTGTAAACTTTGATTTTACACAAGTTTCACATTTTTCAAAATCCTTGTCAATTTTGATCAATTCTTTATTTTGCATTTTTTCAATATTTTTCACATTTGTATGAGCATAACGTTTGTGCCATAATGAGATAGAACAAGCTATATAATTCAAAGAATTAACTTTATTAATTCAGTCGGGAATTACATCAATTGTAGGAACAAAAAAAACCAACTACTTGATCAGTCACAACATTAGCATTACTACCCACAGATCCACACGGTCCGGCCTATCATCATCATCCCTCAAATTTAGGCAATACAAACCGAGATGGTAGTATACCTTACCAACAAAAAATTTTCTTTTGTAAATCACGGGCTTTCCAGACTCTATGTTGAGTCCAAACCCGTTTTCATCGAGTTTAGAAGTAGAAACTAGGTTCTTGTTGATAGAAGGCATGTGAAGAACATTTTTGAGAGTGACAGTCTTGTCGGAAGTGAATTTGAGTAGTACTGTACCCATACCAACGACATCCGCTCGGCCGTTGTTTGCCACTATCACTTGCTTTCCTTCTCTCACTGGTCCATAGGTAATAAACATAGATCTGG